CTGATATACATCGCAGAGTCGTGCAATGCATTATAGAATAAACACATTACAGATGCCAATTGATATTCTCAAAACAAAAACACAGCGTTCATTTAATTGTAATTAAAACGGGAAACGAATGTTGCAAATTCGGGTCACGTTTACATTGCAATGATGCTATTTGACAGCAGGGCATGCAGCGGGAAACGTGATTTGGAATTATAAACTAAGTGTTCGTTAATACAGATAAGTTCTATGTTTCGCTTTCTCCACTGAAAAAAAAAAAACAATAACCACAACAATAGCAGTATAGATTACAAAACTAAAACAATAATAATGAAGGCAAAAACAACATGGTTATCAACAACTACAATGCCAACCATAATAATAACAAAGGTCCAACAGAGGATGCTCAAGGCCCACCTCTACAAGGGCCTTGTGGATCCCTCTCTTCGCCAGTAGTCCTCCGTCAGGTGAGAAGTTGGTCAGATCGGCGTGAGGAGGAGAGAAAAGGTCAGGATTCCCATTTTTTGATCTGGAGAAGAAGGCGTGGATTACGTGATATATTATATATATATATATATATATATTAATATATATATATATATATATTAAGGTATTATTTTATGTCATGATTTCGTTACAAGAAGAAAAAAAATGTTACAAATTTATCTGTACTTCCATTTCATCAAATAAATCGTTTTTTTTGCTTTCTAATTTAGATTTAAAATAGTAAGGCTAAGTTTAATCTTTAAAGGATATATATTACCACTTTGTACCGATATATTATACATATTACTAACTTCTAACGATACATACATATATATTTATTTATATATACATATATATATATATATATATATATATATATATATTATATATATATATATATATATTATATATATAATATATATAGTGTACATGTATATAATATGTAGTATATATAATATACAGGTAGTCCGCGTGTTACGACATGTCCGTTCCAGTAGGCTGTTCGTAAGTACGTTTGTTCGTATGTCCGTAGTAGGGCGTACGGTTATGTTATGATTACTGTACAACTAGCTCTACTTTCGGACGTTCCGGTATAAACAATGCAGTGGTTTTCGGTGGTTTTTAATGTGCTTTGAACAACCTTCATCCAAATGCTCAGAAGTTTTTCAAGTTCTGCAATCACTTTTCCACGTTTCTTACTAATAACAGTAGAATGCATAGGGACTGAACTTTTCACATGTTCCATAATCTTATCCTTGTTCTTGAGTATTGTACCGATATTGTACCGTTAGAACGATTCATCTAGTACGAACGAAGTTTTGAGATATCAGGCTTTGAAGTTGAGGATATTTTTCCTCCATTTTTTTTTTTTTTTTTTTTCTTTGGAAATCTGATCTCTGAGTCAACCCTTGATGCATTCTATGGCATTCACATGTATTCTGAAGTGTACCCCCCCCCCCTTTTTTTCCAAAGGACTAATGGCAATGAGTGCACATGATTGTAGAAGTACCGCAGGTCACCAGAGGCTTGCAGTGCTTCTCGAGGCATTTCATAGAAAATAAAAGACTGCTGCAGCTGTGATTGAGATGTTTTTCTCATCATATTATGTTAATTAGTTACAGGAATAACACTGATCATTAGTAGTGGCCTATTATGTGATGAGGGCGCATCAGGGATGGTGTCGCCCGAGGTATGGGACGGATTTCATCTGCTCTGCTCTCTCCTGGTGACTGCCAACCTTGTCTCTTTTGTAGTAACTGCCAGCTGTGCTGCAAACAGAGTTGCCAGCTAGTTACCAGAGAATACCAAAATAAATCGAAAAAAAATGTTGGTATATTTGCTCAGACGCGACAAAGTAAACATCGGAGCTGGAGGCGGATGGGGGGGGGGGTGGTCAGAGATTTAGCCATAACTCTTTTATTTTATCGTATTTAGCAAAAATACAATTACAAAAAATAATCACAAAATCACAAAGTTTTCTGGAGAGCGTACAACACACGTTTGAATGAGACCTTGTGGGTACAGTGAGAGAGCTATAGTTTACGACGCGCGCTACTCTCACTCCCTCCTGACAGCTTTTTTCGTATGTACCGAAATTTGTTAACTCGAAGTTCGCAAGTAGGGGACCACCTGTAATATAATATATGATGATATAATATATATTTATATCTAGTATATAATAATATATATAAGTAAATCAATAATAGTATTTCTATACATATACATATGTATATGTACTAAATATATATGATATATATTAAAAATATGTAATATATGTAATATATATAAAATATATAAAATATTATTATATATATAATAAATATATTATAATCTATAAAAAATATAAATATATAATATATAATATATATAATATATATAAATATTATAATATATAAATGCTATAATATTATAATTTATTATGTTATAATTTTATATAACATATAAATAAATATCAATATATAATATCGTATAAACAATATATATAAAGGATGATATATTATAATACAAAAAATATATTGTATATAAATGATGTATATGATGTATGATATATATAATGTATGTGTTATATGAATATACATATGTATAATGAATCATGTTATATATAATGTATATGGTATATTTGTTAAACATAATATGAATTATGATATAGTATCTGCAATACATTGTTATTTATGTGTGTATTATATATGATATATATTACATATTTAATGACATACATAAAATATGTAATATACACACACACATCTTCGATTACAGTATACTCCAGACGACGATTTAAAATTGTGTTTTGGTTAGTTAATAGGGATAATCAAAAATCAGAAAATAATCCTGTTTTTTTTGTTTTCCTGAATGATATTTGACAATGATATCCCATAGTCACCTCTGACAAACCACGTTATTGGGAATTTGTAGTAAATTCAGGTTTTCAGTCAAATTTCCTAGAAATGGCAAATAAACAAATTATTGCATATTCAGATGGAATCATATGACGTTCCCAAAGCTTTTCCCAACCATCTAGTTCCCCAGGTCGTCCGTCAAATCCCAGACCCCCAAGATCATGTCCTAGGTATAAAATACTCTCAAAAACCTGCCTTATCATTAAACCTTCAGGATAGTCACGCCCGTAACGCAGGCGCGGCCCGACCAGTAGTGAGAAGTTGCAATTGTCGCCTGAGGTAATTGCTACTCTGTTGCACTAGCTGACACACGTTGATCAAGTCAACATTAGTTGGCACAGGCCGGCGCGAAGCTCAGCTTCGCATATCGGACCCTATCCTTATCTTTGTCTCATAACTCGATATTTTCTTTACACCAGTGAAAAGATCGCTCAATGAAGTTCCTTGCAGAGTTTTCCTCCTGATGGCCTTCCTCGTGTCTTGACTTAGCGGCTTTTCGTTCGGCCGATTTCCCGCTTCCTGTGCCCTCTGCTCAAAAGCAACCTCGCACTGGAAGATCAGCCCATATTGTGTTTCTGCTGATCATTAACGCCCACGCGATTCATAAAAGTTTCAGCATAGTCACTTACTAGGACCGATAAATAGGTTTGTTTAACCCTCTTTCTTGGAAAGAGGAGAAAAATGGCACGCTGTTAACAGTCTGGAGCGGTCAGTAGGATTAATCTGGGTATACAACGATATATCTTTTTGAGGAAGGATTATGATTCAATAGGTTGATATACTTCATCTGATTCTCAGGTCACGCTTTTTTTTTTTTTTTTTTTTAATGGCTCTTTACATAACTATGATTCCAAGTGGTTTTAATAACTATTACCTTTAGGGTTTATTTTTCTCTCAGTTACTTTTTTATTTAAGCAACTTAATATCAATGGATTTACTCTGGCATAGCTTACTTTACTTTATACAGAAGGGGTGTGAACAGTGTTTTGGTCTCCTCTGGTCTTCAGTACGTGGTCCTTTTACGGGTATAGTCAGGGGCATAAAAATGATGGTAATGATGATTTTGTGTTAGTTTTAAAGAGGGGAGGCAAACTAACAAAATTTGACACTAACAATATCAATAGTGGCAAATAATGAAGATAACAATATATGTTTATAATAATAGCAGTAGTAATGATAATAATAACCATAATGATGAAAATGGTAACACTAGTTTGTAATAATAATAATTGATAATGTTGAAATGCAATAATAGAGATAAAGAAAATAACAATCGAATGCAATTATATATTTAATATAATGTTAATTATCAATAATAATTATCTTAATATTAATTAATGATAATACCGTTTGATAATGAATAACATTAAAAATGATAATACCTTATGCAATAATACAATGATAATACCCATGGATAAATAATAATAACAATGATAATACCCTATATATATAATAACGTAATAAACAATGACTAAACTTACCTTTATAATTAATAACAAGAATAACAAGGAAAATAATAATGATAATAAAATAACGTTTAAAATGAACGAGAACAATGCCAACCATAATGATAACAAGGTCCAGCAGAGGACCCTCAAAGACGCCCTATAACACACCCATGAACAGGATGTTGTTCGCCTCGTTATCTTTAATGTAGAAACGAAGGGCGGGTTTGCACGTGAACGTCGTCTTTGGAGGCATTGGACTAGACTTAGTCACAGCGAGCACCGTCGCCGCTGCCGCCTCTGCGCCTTCTTCGTCCACCTCTATAAGGGCCTTGTGGATCGCTCCTTCACCATTAATCCTCAACATGTGTTGAAGTCCGGTCAGATCGGCGCGGATGGAGAAAAGGCAAGAATGGATCCGTCAATTCCATATTCTTTAAAGTTCTGGAGAAGGAAGGGCGTGGATACGATGCTATTTTTTTAAAAGCTATTTTGTGCGCATGATTTCGTACAAGAAGCAAAAACAGTTTTTAATAGATTATTCAGTATTTCATTTCATTAAATAATCGTTTATTGCTCTCTCAGTTTAGATATAAATAAGTAGCAAGACTAAGTTTAATCTTTCAGGGATATCTATTACCAATATGTATCTATATGTAACGATTTTTGCAACAGATGCGCAGAATCTTTACTGAGTAATGGTAATGATATGTAAGCTCGGAGTGTGTTTAAAACTCAAAAACCCTACGCGAGCCAATTTTCCCTTCAGCCACCATCTTGAGGTCCAACAGAGGTTTACATCTGGCTTCCCAGGATTACGTTTCTTATACTGGTATTATATGAATTGAACGTTAAGTTTATTTTACCTATCACATTTTGAATGATCCTAATGGTAACACATTATATATGATTATTTTTTCATGACGATCCTAATTTCACAGGCGTTGGGATCAGCCCAGTGAAACACACTTTAGCCGCATACCCATATATATAATATATATATATATAATATATATTAATATTATATATATATATTTATATATATATATAATATATTATATATATATATATATATATATATATTATTATATATATATATATATATATATATATATATTTTATATAGTGTGTGTGTGTGTGTGTACATATATACATATATGGATGTATATGTATATAACATATAAATAAATAAAATAAGAGTAATATATATATACACTATATATAAATGAATAATATACACATTATATATATACATATATTATGCGTATGTATTATATACATTCTAATATGTATGTATAAATTCAGAATGACATGCGGTTTTTCATTCATTGCAAAGACAGAAATTAAAAATAGGAATGTAAGTGATGAATGTAAAAGGTAAGTATTGGCTAATAAGAATTCATTCAAAAACGGCGCCTGTAAGACTGAAACAGCAAATATCCCTCGGGCTGCTCTAGGCTGTACTGAGGAAAGTTTCCTGTTGGTAACATTGATCATATCTATAATATATAATATTATATACTAGTATATATATATTATATATATAATAATATAAAGTATTAGTATATATATATATATATATATATATATATATAGTATATATATATATATATATATATATATTGTTATATATATATATATATATATTATATATATATTTATATATATATATAATGTATTATATTATATAATATAACGTTTGTGATAGCAGATTATACCTCAATTTGTGAGTAAACTACGACCCCTTTGCTTACCATTCCCAAACTACCAGGTTCGCTTACCTTGCCCTAATTCAAACATACCGAAATGAGTTCATCCCCGAGAGTACTCTCCACGCTGATTTGGGAAACTTGACTATCAGCGGGACGGAGGGCATCGCCTTCACCACAGACACGAGTCTCCTGGGCCTCAGGCGTCGGACCAGCCTGTCCACCTCCTTGCTCTCCCATATCGCGGGAGAAGCACCACCATGGACACGGCGTCGCCCCTGTAGGCATCTCCAGCACCTGGGCGTGAAGCTTCTCCGAGTCCACTGGAACGGAGTTGGACATATTTGAAGTTCGTTGATAACAGGTGATTCATTTTACGATTTCTTTGCATTGTAAGGTAACTTGTTCTGTGTTGGAATTGTGTACATGTTCCCATAAAGAGAAAGACACCTAATGAACACATAATTGATTTTGATTTGCGACAAATCGATACAAACGCAATGAAAATGGGGAAAAAATATGTAATAACGGAAACTGGACACAAGGAAAGGTAGGAGAGTTCATTTTGTATAAAGGAAGAACTCCCCATACATTACCATATTTGAACCTTCCCGTTTGCGTCATCATATCCACTTGGACATATTCTTCCGGGGTTACGAAAAACTTGTCCTTGTGGGTCCTTTGAGGCTTGAACGGGTATTTCCAAAAGCCTTTGAAGTAGACGGCGTTAGTTAAGACCATTTTAGCGTCTTTAACAAAGGAGGGTTCTATAAGCTTTGGTATTTTTCCTCGCGTTTCGGCGTTGATGAAGGCATTGATGTCAGCAGCGGCGGCGTCGGGCTGATGGCAGATTCAGGTTTGATTATTTCGGTCAATGGAGTTTAAAGATCGTTTAAAGAAATGTATATCTTTTAAAAACTTTAAAGGATTTTTTTCTTGTACAAGGGTCTCTTCTGTACGCGTCATAAAAGTTATGCTGCGTTCGGAACTGCTCGTCTTGCTCGTCCAGACACCTTGTCCAAGACAAGCAGGACAAGTGTGGCCGCGTTCTGAACCTCCAAGACCCTTTCTGCCCAGAATGCAACCGGCTCCAAGGTAAACATATTTTTATTTTATTTTTTTATTTTTTGTTTATTTTTTTATTATTTTTTTTTTTTTCATCATACTGGTGTCTTTATTTTACACGCTGCATAGGTTTTTGTAACTCCTTTGATGCATATTTAACTTACCTGCAACTGACAAACACAAAAATATCTTTGATAACACCAATAAAGGGTTATATAAAATTACCCACCAATATCTTGCGGTTACCTACAACTGTCAATGTTTACATTCAAAATTACTGTGCCGTCATCTCGTCCTGTTCGCCCAGGTTCGCAGGAGGGCGAGTAGGACGAGCTAGAATACTTGTCCGGACGAGATTGTGGAAGTTCCGAACGGTCAAAACATCTTGTCCAACTGGGCTGGACGAGATAGACGAGCAGTTCCGAACGCAGCGTTAAATCCAGATTAAAGTTTCATCCAAATCCACTGTACTTTCATAGATGTAATACACAATACCAGACGCACGCGTCCATGCGATCATCAGTAAATCTGTTCTTTTACAATTAAGAGCGGGCATTTGTGTAGTCGAAATTAGCAAACTCTTTGAGTTTCATATCGCACGCTAATGCTGTTACCGAGACGTTTGCTAAAAAAAAAAAAAAAAAAAAAAAAAAAAAAAAAACACACACACACACACACACACACACACACACACACACACACACACACACACATACACACACACACACAAACACACAACACACACAACCACACACACACACACACACACCACACACACACACACACACACATATATATATATATATATATATATATATATATATATATATATATATATATATACATACGGCAGTCTTATAGCATGAGGATGTGCATTTGTGTTACGACAACTAAATCCAGATAAAGGACTTCAAATGCTCTTTTTATAGGCAAACAGAACTGTAGCTGTTAACAAAAGTTACATCAGTTTATTTCTGCGGAGAGTTTTTTCTCCGAGAGTTTTTTCGTGTTTTTGTTGCTGTCGAGGAATATGATAACAAATTCCCACTAGTTTTGAAGGCAATATAAAGATTCAGAAAGTTTGTACTTTAAATCTGAAACCTAATCGTGATGTTATTGAAACTCTGGAATTATTTGTGGGATTTCCTTTCGTTTTTTTCGAGAGTTATTTCTGCAGTTTAAGTATCCCACGACTTATGAAAATATATGTTGATAAAAGTTTATACACATCTTTAGCATGAAAATGCCAGAATTAGTTTCATTATTCGCAATAATAAACATTTATGGCAACTCGACTTCATCCTTTTTACCAGAATGGTGCGACTAACTAGCTCATTTTGAGCATGGCAGGATTAAAGTACGAGCTCAAAAGTGAATGCTGATCCAGAGATGAAATGAAAGTTGATAATGGACGCTGCCATTGCGCATGCGCACTAGAGATCTGGATTAAACTTGAATTCTGGATTAACTTTTATGGCACGTACAGAAGACGCCCTAAAGCACTGAAGAAGTTGGTTCATTCTACATACATTAAATGATCACCACAGAAGGCTTTTCTCTGTTACTCAAGATCAAAGTAAGTCTGCTGAACAGATCTGCCCTCTTGTACGGAAGGCTTTCACACTGCGCCCGAGGTTTAAAGCTATAAGGTTTGAAAGTGCTTCACTTTGTTTAAGGCTTAAAAGGTTTTATCACTGTGCCTCGGCTCATATTTCTGTCTTCTCGTACTAGACCAAGATTGCCAGAGAACTCCCTTAACCACTTGATGGAAACGTATCACAAATTGAAATACAATGTCAGGTTACAGAGATTTGTATGTATATACGAAGTGATAATGTAGTGATTTAATGCAAATGTATGTGTAGATTACCCTCTTTTTGCAGAGACATAATCAAAACATTAGACCATAACTTATAAGCTGTGCTTTTATATAAAGAAATGATGTTCGTATCCTCACTGAGCCATGAATCTGTAACTACATGAGTTCTGATATCCCTATTTTGGATATGCTGCGATGTTACAAGTGATGAAGACTCCCCACATCTAGTAGGCAGGAAAATAAAGCTGTAAGCCAAGTGTTTCTTACCCTATTAAAGTCTGTGAACTTCACTTGGTCGTCGAGGACTTTCCCACGCATTCTCGGACGGGAATGGACTGGTCGAAGTATATCCTGTTAGCCGAGTTGATGGTGTAGTTCTGGTTTGCTTCTTGGGAGTCATAGCTGCAGTCGTGTTATTTTAGTAGAAATTATTATCTGATAATGTTATTACTTGCATTATAAAATCATGATCCTTTTTGTTATCATCAAGGTATTCATGTCCATTTCTCTCTCTCTCTCTCTCTCTCTCTCTCTCTCTCTCCTTATCTATATAATATATATATATATATATATATATATATATATATATATATATATATACACATATATATATATATATATATATATTTATATACATATACACGAAAATGAATAAACCAACAATATGAATTTTAAAAAATCTTTTTGTTGTTCTTTATAATTTTTGTATACACGTTACTGTGTTAATGTTTTACACAAACACACACAGAATCACACACACACATATATACATACATACATACATATATATATATATATATATATATATATATATATATATATATATCAATCTACCTACCACCTCTCTTAACGGTTCACTCGGTAGTTTAATCGCGTCAACCCACTCACCGCCGTTCGAGAGGGCCCTGAACAGGGCGAGCGTGTCTTCCCTGTTGGTGAGCCGCAGAAACTGCTCCAGCTCCGCCTTCGTGTTGCCTCGGGAGCCGAAGTAGGCGAGGACGAGGGCGCTCCAGACGCTGAAGGGCGAGATGAAGAAGTTCCCCGACGGAGGGAGAGCCTTCCTGAGTAAGCCGAGGCTGAAGAAGGTCGTCCGCCTGAGAATCGGGAGCCGCGGGGGCGGCGAGGTGTCGGAGGAGGAGAGGCACTGACAGCTGGCCCGTGACAGGAGGGCGAGGCGGGGAGCAGCACGCACACTCTCATGGTTCTGAAAGGTCACGCACACACTGGTATTTGAATATAGAAACACACACACGCACATGTATATATCTTAGTCAAAATATTATGTATTTCTAACTATAGACAAAAGCGAGCCAGATACATTAGCACTATTAAGATATCTGGTCTTATTATTTTGTCGCAATGAACACGGTTTAGAAATAAGCGACTCAGACACGGGTTGCAGTATACACAAAACTATAGGGTGCACAGGAAACATATAACCGATATTGCATGTTCGCCTAACTGATAGATTGCAAATAGACCTTATGAGGTGGGAGGCAAAATGCTGAGAAGAACGGCGCAATATCTTTCAGTCACCTCATCACATCAGCAGTCAACAGTTACCATATGCGATTTGTAGTACCATAAATTCCTTACGAAATCTGAATATTCATATAAAACAGAAAACACCAACGATGGTCTGTGGTGAGACTAAAAAGCTAGAGATTACTGAGTTAGCGAGGCTTTTCCTGTGAATATTTTACTACTCCTCTACATCTGGTTTATTCATAATTCCATCAAGCACACAATAATGATACACTGAACTTACACAAACCGTAGTTTGTTGTCTTTTATGCTCTATGTTGGTGCCACGTCTTCTGTGTAAGTGTATATTGTTACAAAACTAAGATTTAATTAATACACTACAAATCTGAACTATAATGAAAAATCTTTATCTGAATTTGATCACAAAGAGATACACGTTATGGGGATGATTTGATTCTCATGTTCAGAATTTTAACATCGTCTTACAGATGAACGTCTTATCATACAGGGGTCCTGTATTCACTGTTAATGAATGGTTAGTGATATGATATATTTAACCACTTTCATTAAGTATGAAATTATCTTGAAATTCTGTGTGCGAGACGTTTGTTAAAATCGTGCGAGGCCCGACCCAATGAATATTCATACATAAAGATATTCAAATAAAGGCTTATATATATATAATATATATAATATATATATATATATATATATATATATATATATATATATATGATGGATATACATTTATTTATCTATCCGGCAGATATGCATTTGTCTGTCTACATTCATATTCGTAATAATTAGGTCATGCTTCGCACAGTATTAACAAACCGGCCGATGATATTCATCAGCATACAAATCATACAAAACACCGGTACACAGTGCTCACCAAGAGAGTCTCGACACCAGTACCAACGCAGCGACCTAAAGTGACAGACGAGCGCGAGAAGTCCTCACGCAACGCACTTTCACCTACTACTGAGAGGCGGCTGGGACTCACGCTGATATACATCGCAGAGAGACGCGAGAGCCGACATTTCATCTGTTGATTATGTTTAGATCTCTGCATTATTTGGTCTTGCCTGTTCATATATCCTTAGCTCAAAGAATCGGCTCCTAGGGTTAATGAAATTTTATTATTTTTATTATCATTATTATTTTTATCATCACGATTCCTATAATGATTCCTATGATTATCATTAGCACCATTATTATTATTACTATATTATCATAATCATTTTCATTACTACTATCATTGTCATTATTATTACAGTCATTATTATTACTACTGTTTTCTTCATTTTATTATAATTATCATTATTACTATTGCTATCGTATTTATTATTATCATTATAACTATTGCTTTTCATATTTTAATTATCACTATTGCTATCATATTGATCCTTATCCCCATTACTATTATCATCGTTATTATTATCACCACCGCCACCATCATCATCTTCATTATCATCATCCATTCATTTATCTTTCTTAGTATCCAAATGCACACAAACCCAAATGTACATTACAATAATGCATAACAAGGCACATAATACATTCTCTACAAACTATATTATTTAATCCGTATCTTACTCGTACAAGAGTTATACCACTACATCATAGGAATAATGAATACTTATCTGTTTGAGCCTTTGGTTGGTCTCGAAAAAGAGTCGTAACTATTTATTTCTTACATTTTTATAACTATAAAAAATAAATAAATAATCAGCTAAAATCTTCTATTTAGCACATAGTAGACAAACCCTGCCATTGTCATAAAAATATATATATCTTTTCGTGTTTGGATTGAAATGGAATGGTAGTCACCAGTACCATGTTATCTATTGCTTTCTTTCCTATCATTTTAACCATTACTATCATCATTATTATCATTATCAATAAAACTGTGATAATCATAATTACTACCATCATTATTATCGCCATCCTTAATATTATCACCGCCACCACCACCTCGTCATCTTAATTATCATCTTTATCATCATCCACTCATTTATATAATGAATAACAAACCAGAAAATAGATTCAATTGATTTAGTCCTTTTACAAACTATGCTATTTTAAATCAAACTCGAACAAGTAGAGTGATAACGAATAACGAATACTTATTGATTTGAGCCTTTGGTTGGTTCCGAAAAAGAGGCTTAATTTATTTCTTACAATTTTATAATCATGGTAATATAAAATAATCAGTAAAAATCCTACCAGGGTCATGAAAATGTATGTATTAT